GGTCCGAACTGTTATTCGTGCACGTGGTGGACATAACAGGTACTGACACTTCTGTGGACGCTGAACAAAATCATGACTGTTTAGCCTGTGGTGATCATTATTATCGTATACACACGTGGTTCTGCCATGTGCACGTCAAATTTCATGCTCCTGAGTATGTTTGTTGAATAGTTATACACGTTTGAATTAAACCTTTGTCTCTTCAGATTTCTGCCTTATGCGGTTTTTTTGGAATAGTATATAATTCCCATGATGAAGGAGTAAGCATATACTCCAAAACGTTGTGTTCCTCAAAATAAAGAAGTTGACATCCTTAAATTCCCTTCCTTATGATCCTCCGGTGGACATTGGATTTCCCTGTAAAGTCGGCACCAATATAAATGATGTCTTGGACTGGCTTGTTCTCCAGACGAACAGGAAACCAAGATGAGACAGAAGTTGGACGAGGACGGTTGTGTTTTAAGATGCTGATCGTCGTGATTGTCCAACAGAAAATCGTTGACGTATTCATGCAGACACACTACATGGATGTGAGCAAATCTGATGAACTATGCTCATAGTGTAAATCACTGGATTGTCATTTTTGCGGACCACTATCATATAGCTTTAATATTGTTAAGTGTAGGGTGAAGTGCAGTGGTGATATGCTAAGATGGAAGGTCCATGGCAACCTGCATGTTCGAGCCTCTGTGACATAACTACTTCCCCCACCTCTGGTTTGAACTGCCTCCGTGGTTCGATCCCTGCCCGTGCATACCAAAAGACGTTAAAAGATGGTACTTGTTGTTACCCTGTCTGACACTCTGCATTAACGCCTCTGTGGTTCAATCCATGTCCGTGCATACCAAAAGACGTTAAAAGATGGTACTTGTTGTTACCCTGTCTGACACTCGGCATTAACGCCTCTGTGGTTCAATCCCTGTCCGTGCATACCAAAAGACGTTAAAAGATGGTACTTGTTGTTACCCTGTCTGACGTCGGCATTAGGGGGCTAAAACAGGGTTGGTCAGCTCGGAGTCAGTATACTGTGTCTGAGTGGGGTATATATGTTAAAGGGACGGTCGGGTAGCATAGTGGTTAAAGCGTTTGCTCGTCACGCGGAAGACCCGGGTTTGATTCCCGACATGGGTACAATGTGTGAAGCCCATTTCTGGTGTCCCCCACCATGATATTGCTGGAATATTGCTAAAAGCGGCGTAAAAACCATACTCACTCACTCATATATGTTAAATGGTATCTGAGTGTGTTAGCACTATAAAATCGGCCTCAGTCACAGCAACCACACACACAAATGCATGCACGTGGCTATACAAGTGCAATAATGTTGGATGCGATGTTAAACTCCATTTCACCTCTGGTTTGAGACCCAGGAAGAGATGTGCAATTATTATTTATATTTTCTTAGGTGGGCGGATCCATAAACTATGTTAAAAAGTGTTTAAGTATCGCTCTCTTGGGGTTAGTTTGGGTAGACGATTTCCTAATTATTGGTTTGTTCTCAGAAATAACATCAATTGGGGAAATGGGATCGAGGTGTTATTTTTAAAACTTAATGAACACAACATTTAGAAAAAGAATTACCAGGGGAGAGTGCGTGTGCGTGCATGCGTGCTTTGTCCAGAATGATTGCAAGTGTTTCATTTGCATGGAGTCATGTCCCGTTGACAATGTCATGACATGTGAAGGCAAGGAAACCTCTAAATAGTAGTCATGCGATACCAGTCACATGGCATACGTGTAATTATTGTCGAATACGGGCGGTCGGGTAGCCTAGTGGTTAAAGCGTTCGCTCTCACGCCGAAGACCCGGGGTTCGATTTCCGACGTGGATACAATGTGTGAAGCCCATTTCTGGTGTCCCCCGCCGTGATATTGCTGGAATATTGCTGAGTGCGGCGTAAAACAACCAGCCAACCAACCAACCTCTGCAGCGCATGCTGATTCGCGCCTTTCAACAATACCACGGGAGGTAATCCAGCGTTGATTTTCATTATGCCCAGGTGTTTTATGCCTGTATCGATGCTCACGGGGCATGGACCAGATATTGACTTTACTATGAAGATTGGATTTCACGTCATTTCTTTATATATTATAATTTCTGAATAAATTTGGGGTTCTTTTAAGTATTTTCCTAGCATATTTTGACACACGAAACATATTCTTAAATCTTTTACAATAAATTATAGACATCATATCGTGGACGTGGTTGTTTGATAAAACTTTGTAATGAGTATCTGAATCAGTCACCTACATTCAATTTACCTTTACATACGTTTTGAACACCAGATGTTTTATATTCATGTCATATTTAACCCAACCTTTCTATCATGAAGTGCATTAATATTTTGGACATACGACTAAAACTGAAGTTTTTTTTTATAATTTTATGGTTAAATAAAAGAAAAGTTACAGCCTGGTAGAGTAGCGCCAGCGCAGCATACCCAGGGAACCAGGCTGGAGAAGTTTATTGTTAAACAAAGGAGAGGTTACAGCCTGGTAGTGTAGCGCCAGCGCAGCATACCCAGGGAACCAGGCTGGAGAAGTTATTGTTTAAATATGAGAAGTGAATGCAATTTTCTTATTTAGCACAATCAAGGATACGTTTCCAGACAAAGATAGATGCTTCTTTTTCTTCATTACCAGCTCCCTGAGATATCCAACTAAAAAACAAATTTCTAATATGAAATTAAGTTATGGTTTACGTTAAGTATTTTCTATAACGGGTATTATATATCATTCAAAAAATGGTTGCAGATGGCCATGTACATGTGGGCTTAAAACATGTAACCAATATTTAATAAATACGACATAATATTTCGTGTAGAATGGGTATCTGCCACAACCACCTTAAGCAACAACACAAGGCAACAGGCACAAGCAATAACTTTTATTTAAAACTTAATAACATGTAGTAATTTACAAGATTGTCTATGTACAATTTTCTATATTCTCCCTTTGGGTGTATCACCACGAATCGCTACTAGACATCAGTATCGGTACTATTTTTGTGCCAAATACTTGATAGAGGTGCAACGATACATCGGTGCACCGGTGCCTCGTGCCTCGTGAGTTTTCGTGCAACGATATGAGGTGAGGTGAGGTGAAATGGGGTTTAACGTCGCGTCCAAGATTATTGCACTTATATAGCGACGTGCATGTACGTGTGTGTGTTTGTGTGGCTGCTTGTACTTGTCCGGACTGATGCAGATTTATAGTGCTAGCCCACTGAGATACCATGCCGCAGTTTAACATGAATACCCCACTCAGACACAGTATACTGACTCCGAGCCGACCAGTCCTTGTTTTAGCCCCTAAATGCCGAGCGCCAGACAGGGTAACAACAAATACCATCTTTTAACGTCTTTTGGTATGACGCGGCCGCGGATCGAACCCCGGACCTTCCGCTCTCCGGGCGGACGCTCTACCACTAGACCACGGAGGCGGTCGCAACGATATGATAAACGCATTCGTAACCAACTCGTGTTATTCCGGGGCAAGCCGAATAGCCAGGTCACGGAAAGGGGCGAGTGGTGACGAATGATGATAAACGATGAGGTTTTTTTCCGACGGTATCGGTACAAGACGATACACTTGCTAAACTAAATTACTTACTACTCGTTTAATTACACTCGGCGTTTTTGTCAATCAAATATCGCAAAATGTGTTGTAATTACCGTTTCAAGTTCATTACCAAAAATAGCCACTACAAACAGCTAGCTAGTCCCTTTGAACCTACACTGAAATACTCTAGTCAAGACGCTTTCACGCGATTTGACAAAAATATGCGTTTCGCGATACGTATCATAACGTGACCTATGTAACGTGACCTTGCTTGAACGATACCCCATACATTTGTTATAACCTTGCAGAACAGGCAATTTGCTCAAGTAAAGCAATGTATACCATCAAAACACTTGTGCATAGTGCTTTACTTGCGCAAATTGCCTTTCTGCGCGGTTATTACAAGCTCTATTCCAAATTAGTTTTTAATCGGCCCATCTTCCCTAGTCTTATCTTTTAATACAATAATTTTAGTTTTTGTGTGTTTATTTCCATTCCCCATATTTCGCAGTATCCTTGCAAGATTGGATTGGATTGGATTGTTGTTTAACGCCGCACTCAGCAGTATTCCAGCTATATGACGGCGGTCTGTAAATAATCGAGTCTGGACCAGACAATCCAGTGATTAATATCATGAGCATCGATACACGCAATTGGGATCGATGACATGCATCAACCAAGCCAGCGAGCCTGACCACCCGATCCCGTTAGTCGCCTTTTACGGCTAGCATAGTCGCCTTTTACGACAAGCATAGTCACCTTTTACGGCAAGCATGGGTTGCTGAAGACCTATTCTATCCCGGAATCTTCACGGGTCATCCTTGCAAGAGATACAATCATCTTTGTAATGTTATAGTAGTATCTGCTACCAGTATTAAATCATCTGCAAATAGTAAAGAAATCATGTTATACATTTCCTTATATATTCACACCATCATCTAACCTAGATCCAATAATTTCAACCACTTCCTTAATAAAAACCGGAAAAAGTAAGGTACTGAGAGTACACCAACTGGGCCCGTAAAATACTCAGATAATTACAAAAAAAAACCTGCAGCCTTAACATGACTTGAATACTCTCAATAACTCGAAATAATTTACCGTGATTGCCATTGTTTAATGGTTAACATCAAAATATTTCTATTCACCATACCAAATGCTTTCTTAAGGTCCACGAAAGGTCATACCTTTTATAACTGTGATGTGTTTCGCAGGAACGAACGGGAACCAGTCTAGGGACGAGTCTTCTTGCAGGTTACGGAAAGGGGCGAGTGGTGACGTATGTTTCGTTACACTCTCGGTAACATAGTATAGAGAGCTCCCCGAACGGACTATCGCTGTGAGGAGCTTGGGTGACGAATGTGTGTTTGAGCTGGTTCCAGCGCTCCCTATGCGCGTCGTCAACTTGCGCCAATATTGGGATATTAGAGACGGGGCCCAGCTTAAGTGGTGTTAATGCTTAGTCACCACTGCGCCGTGTTAAGCTGGGCCCCGTCTTTGATATCACAATCTAGGCGCAAGTTACTTCCCAGTTGTTTACCCGAAAGAGTCATTTCTCGACGAGGTAAGAGCGTGGCAAGTTTTGCAAACTGTAGGATTGCTTGGAGGTGATGTAGAAAAGGAGATTTCGTGATGGGGTATTTTGTCGTTATGGTTCTCACAAATGTCGCTCTGGTTTAACCGCTTTCACTTCAAAATAATTTCAGAGGTATATTTTCGATTTATTTTGGCATGAATTATCTCCCCTGACGCATTGACCCAACAAACAGAATACACGCTTTTTATTTTATCATGTTTATGTCTGACCAAAGGGGCATGAAAGAAATTGTTCAGTTCATGTTAATTTTCCATAATCACTTGAGTGCTTGACAATCAAAATCCTCATTGTGTGTAAGGTGTAACAGAGTTAATTACTTCAGTTTTGGCAAAGATAAGCGAGAGCTTGTACTTTAATAGTGTAATGTTCTACCTTGTAGGGCCTAGTCTTCAAGGAAATATCTTCGCATAGATCGACAGAGCTCCAGATAACTTTTTGAGCAATTGAGTTTCTATCTCAATTGGGTTATTACATTTTTCATTGGGTAACCAATATTTGTTCACCCATCTATTCATCTCTCGATTGTTTTTTTCCCCGCAAAATTATTGAACATTTTAAGATTTAAAAAAAATAAAATAATGTTTTAGTTGTAAATAACTGTTCTAAATATATAGGCTTGACTCGGAAAGTAAATTAGCTCGTAAATGTGTTTCGGAAATTAGCTTCTTTGTACACATGCTGAAAAAGCTTTATTGGGTATTTCCGCATGCTGTTTTTATACATTTGAGTTTTTCATTTACTGCATGCATTTCTGTACGCAAGTTAATTGAAAGTAATTGGGTTTTGAATATTTTTTGTGGGTATTTTATGCAAATACGCTTCTTATCTGTAGCTCTGGATCTATTAACCACAAAGACATGAGGATACGATCATGGGTTAATTCTTAGTTATGGCGACAGTACCTGTGGTCATCGATGACATCATCAACTATGTCATAGCACAAGCTAGCTACTACTATGTACTCTAACACCTACTCAAAATGGCAACACACTACAGTTAAATAATGGATTCATTCCATGGATTGTTTAGAGTGGGATGTGTAGATGCCTACAGGGTAGTTCTGACTTAAAACATAAATAAATATTTTAATAATTTACAATGTGCTTCAATGCACGAAGGTTTTATTCAAATGTTCAACATGACTGATATGGAGGTGAGATGAAATCAGGTTTAACATCGCGTTCAAGATTATTGCATTCATGTAGTTACATGTGGGTGTGGCTGCAGCTTCTTGTAATAGTCTGGACTAATGCCGGTTTCATAGTACTACCACACAGATATACCATGCCACATCTTAGCTCGAATTCGCTACGCAGTTGCAGTATGCTGACTCCGAGCCACCCAGTCTTTGTTTCTTCCCTTAGGCTGAGCACAAGGCAGGGTGACATAAAATACCGTCTTATGATGTCTTTTTGTATGAAGAAGATGTGAATCGAACTCAAAGACCTTCTGCTCTCTGGGCAGACACTCTATCCTCTAGATCAAGGTGGTTGTCAAAGTCTGAAATTCATTACACACGAGGACAGTACCATAGCTGTTATTTGATTGGCTTCCTTAGGTCACATGCTCAAATTTGACCAATCATGAACCCTGTAGCTGATTTCAGCCCAAAAGCTTCATAAGAAACCATTTTTTATCCAATTACTATTGTAACAGATACAAAAAGACTCTGGGTGATGTTATGGCCATGTAGATGAAAAAAAACAAGCTTTCTAGCGGTGTGTCATATGACAGTCTTCGACAAACGTGTTATTCATACAAAGTTATCGAAAACAGAGGTATTTCTTCATGTTACTGAGCGCCTTTTGCGGGAAATGAATAATTTCATTGTTGCTAATTGAAGAAAAGAGTGCACCTGGAACAATATTCATTGCATAATGACATGGTAACACCATTTACAACACCGGTATCCGCTTTTAATGTCTTATCACTTTGAATATATTCAGTTACGATCTAAACACACATTGTCGAAGACCTATAGAAATCTGTTAATGGCAGATTGTTGTCTCCTGCATGCCAATGAAAAGAACAGCAGATCGTGGAAAACAAGTCTGCTAATAATAACTGTACTCGCGAATAATTCCTCCTAAAGTTGACAATGAACACAAATACATAATTATGATGTAATTACAATTTTATTTTAGTTGACAATGCTCATTGGATGAGCAAGGCTATACCTATGTCATCTACTAAAATAAATTGCATCATTCGAGTCACAAATAACAAAATTCAAGTACACTAATATACATCTTCCCGAGGCAAGAGAGTTAACTGACAATAAAAGTCCAGTTTCCACCCTTGCCGAACTAGGCTGGTATTATGGAGTTACATTTTGACTGGACTAACAAGTCTATGCATAGTCCAATCAAAATCGCGCACCGAAGTCATAATCCGGTTCGTACACTGTTGTACAGATTTCAGTCGATTGCTGGGTTTGCAAAGCATGTTCACCGCCAACTCGTTGTCAGCAGATATTTTCCAAATGTTTTCATGTTTCTAATCAAGGTGCTCACATGATTTAATGCATTTCGCGATGTAAGACCCGTTTTATCAGAATATAGATCTTGATTGTCGATCAGATCTAACTGACCGGGCGCCACCATTTAGTGTGAAGCAAACGCAAGTGATACGAGAGGTGGAGTCTTATTGGTCCATAGGAGAGGCTGTGAAGGGACATGACTGGTAAAAGCCACTGATGGCGCTACGATCGAGCCCAGTAATTCCAGCCTAGTTCGGCAAGGGTGGAAACTGGACTTTTAAAGTCAGTTAACTCTCTTGCCTCGGGAAGATGACTAATATACAATTTCAAGCCTAGTGCTATGACTTGTACATACCATAATAGTTATTTGATAAAAGATAATTTCAAATGTTTTTGGCTACCTAAAATTGTGGCCTGTCTTGCTGATTTTACCACTGGCTACCTGGAAAAAAATACTGGTAGCCATATGGCTACTAGTGACAAAATTAAACTTTGAGGCTTGAGATATGGTGCTCCATATGCTCAAGCATTGTGTTTACTCCGTAATACTTCACGCAAACTTATGACAGGCACACCAAGCATGTAGCCCGGCAACTTCAAAAGCTAACATGAGGTGGTCACTCCAAAAGAAAACACACATCACTATTATGGTGTCATATGACTCATTGTGGTGCAAAAGATATGATGCCAAGTCATATATAGAAGAGCACCAAATAACCAGCTCTCTGTTGTCCTCAAGGGGGCACAGGTGGCCCAGTTGTTTAAAGCGTCGCGATTCGCTGTGCAGAGTTGCGTCCCTTGGGCACGCCAGAAACCTATGATTGTGGGTTCGAATCCTGGTTCGCCCCAATTATGTTTCTAGGTTTGTCAGCACCTTACCCGTGCTCGTGGGTTTCATCGAAGTGGTAAACGTCTGAGACCTGCATCACTTCGGGCTTTCCTCCCACATTAAGCTGACAAGCCGTGATATAACTGGAATACTGTTAAAAGTGGCGCTAAACCCAACTCACTCACACTCACTGTTGTCCTCAAAACTTGAAATACAATCTAATTGTAGATTTCTACTGTGTTTTCAGCACGAAATGTATTGCGGCACATCCTTTGATATATTCTAGTTACCACAGTTTTGCATTTTGTTGCCGATAACCAAGATAACTGTACCTATAATTATCTAAATATGCCTATCAACAAAGACTGTAAAAGAAGAACTATTCCAAAAATATCTGCTTCTGCAGTGATGCGGTTGTCAAATTGTCTCTTTCAATCAGATGGGGTATATTATGATTTGATAACCCTGATTGACCAATCAAAATCATTTTTTTCCAAATTCATGGTAGAATATCAAATACCGTATTCGACGAAATAAGCACCCAGGGCGCTCTCAAAATTAGAAATAGGGGGCTCTTATTAGAATATTACTTTAGTGGAAAAAAGAGAGTTGAAAGATAAATGTCGTGGTTTATGCTGACACACTGAAATGTTTATATGCGACAGATACATTTTTCCAGAATTATTGCCCATAATTAAGAATGCATATAACACACGAGTGCGTATTATACGCGAATAAATAAGTCTTGTATACATTGATCAATCAGAAGGAGTGCTAATTGGTTTTTTTCACTAGCCAATATATTAACAAATATCGCCGTGGGCGCTTATTACGTCGAATATGGTATATTAAATATTGATAAGACCTGTGAAGATTCCGGGGTAGAATAGGTCTTCAGCAACCCATGCTTGCCGTAAAAGGCGACTATGCTTGTCGTAAAAGGTGACTTACGGGATCGGGTGGTCAGGCTCGCTTAATTGGTTGATACATGTCATCGATCCCAATTTAGTGGATCGATGCTCATGATGTCGATCACTGGATTGTCTGGTCCAGACTTGATTATTTTACAGACCGCCGTCATATAGCTGGAATATTGCTGAGTGCGGCGTTAAACAACAAACAAACAAACAAAATGGGATGTCCTCAGATCTTTGTTTAGCGGTAGCGAGAACTAAGATCTGATTTTAATGAGATTGTTTGCAGCATATTTCAGAATTTGGCTGTTTAACACCATGTTTTTATCAATTTCCATTTGAAAACATTAACAAAAATGTTTTAGTTTAGGTACCTGAAGTAACTAGATTGTGTCATTCATTCATATCACAATACATACCTCAGTATTCCGATTTACCGGTAATTGCCAGTTTTGTACCGGTAAAGTTAGGTTTTGACTGGTAATTCATGTGACTGCCAGTCCCTGTGGACCCGCAAATAAAGTACCTTATAAATCTTTGTTGGTGAATAAAACATTGGCGATATGGTTTTTCGAGCGAAGTCAGCTTGTCTGTAACTATCAGGGTTTCCCGTTGTCTATTTTCAGTGCAAAGAAACAACATTTCGTGTTGCTTTAAGGTTAAATATGTATTTGTAGTGACCATGTGGTGACTTAGTCTCGAAATATTCAAAAAAAGGAGAAAATTGTGACTAACCTTGTGGGAATGATGTGTATAACTATGTTACTTCAGAGATGATGTCCATCCAATCGAACATGATGTTAAAATTATTTAAACCAGGTCATTTTCATGCGTTGTTTTATTTGTTGAAAGTTGGGACAAGCAAAAATTAGGGGGGACTGGTAATTTTTAGAGTTGCCAGCCACCAGGACTGTCTTTCAAAAGCGAGCAGGAACACTGTATCTCTACATTGTGTGTATTGTCCCGGCCCTGTGTGTCACTGTGTGTGTGTGTGGAGTGAGTGAGTGAGTGAGTTAGGTTTAACGCCGCTTTTAACATTATTCCAGTTATATCGCGGCGTGTCAGCTTAATGTGGGAGGAAAGCCCGAAGTGATGCAGGTCTCAGACGTTTACCACTTCGGTGAAACCCACGAGCACGGGTATGGTGCTGACAAACCTAGAAACATAATCGGGGCGAACCGGGATTTGAACCCACAATCATAGGTTTCTGGCGTGCCCAAGGGATGCAACTCTGCACAGCGAATCGCGGCGCCTTAGACGACTGGGCCACCCGTGCCCCCATGTGTGTGTGGAAACTAGGGCTGTTACGATTCACTCTTGTATTCAGTGAATCGAACCGTAACCATACATGAATTGAATTCGTTATTCATGGCCACTAGAATCGAATATTTATGAATATGCTATCATGTATATTTACATACCCTGTACCTAAAAATATCCATAACAACATATTATATGCATAGATTTCTAATAATATTTAATTTGATAGTATTGTTGTCACTGGTCATTGTCGCATTTGAGATGATACTAGTACCTGGATAAGTGCAGTATATAAATGTATAATATAGATAATTAACAAACCATGTCAAATAAATTATGATGTTATTGTTTCACTGAATGATATAAATACTACATAAACTGCTGACTTGTTATTGTAATTGAGGAATTAAGATTTGTATTCTTTACCCTATATTCGTGATATAAATCGTATTCGCCTCACTGTGTATTCGTTGCAGCCCTAGTGGAAACATCAGACAAAGATGCATAAACTAGGTTAAACTTACATGACAACTCTTTTATGTTTTCAGTGAACACAATGACATCCACAAGTTGATAATGGAAGTACAAAGCCATCCACAGAATCCTGGCTCTGTTACAGAAACGTGTGTTTTGCTTGAACGTTGGAACAGGTGATCTCAAGACTCACAACGATTGTGACAGCAAAGCAGCAGAGTGTGGGATATATATATAAGATGTCAGTGGCACAGTGGCGTCTTGCTGTAAAGTGAAGTGAGTGTGGGAAAGAATTTGTACAGGCAAGTTGAGGAAACACATTAAATGTCATGTTGGAGTCAGACCTTATCAGCGTAGTGAGTGTGGGAAAGAATTCACAGAAAATGGCCATCTGAAATGACACATGAAGACACATGAAAGTGGTCACAGTGATGTGAATGGGAAACCTAATTAGTGTGGTGAATGTTGGAAAGTGTTCATGAGATAAGTACATTACAGACACAGTGGTCACAGTGGAAAGTATTTAAGACATCAAGGAGCATGAAGACCCACCATTAGACTCTTCACTTTGGAATCAAGCCTTTTAAGTGTGCTGAATGTGGGAAAACATTTTCACTAAGATGTTCTCTGAAGACACACATCCTGAGTCAAAGTAGAGTGAAGCCTTTTAAGTGTGCTGAATGTGGGAAAGCATTTACTCTAAAAGGTACACTGAAGACACACATTTTGCTTCACAGTGGCATCAAGCCATGTAAGTGTGCTGAATGTTGAAAAGAGTTTGCACCAGCAAGTGGCCTGCAGTCTCACATGCTGTCTAAGTGGACTCAAGCCTTTTAACATGTTTAAGTGTGATGAGTGCGGGAAGACATTTACACTAAGAAGATATCTGAAGAAACACATAAAGCTTCACAGTGGAATCAAGCCTTTTAAGTGTGGCGAATGTGGCAAAGAGTTGGCACAAGCAAGTAACCTGCAGCAACACATGAGGGTTCACAGTGGAATCAAGCCTTTTAAGTGTGGTGAGTGCGGGAAGACATTTGCACAAAGTTACAATCTAAAGACACACACGAGGCTTCACAGTCGTAGCAAGTCTTTTCAGTGTGCTAAATGTGGCAAAGAGTTTGTGAAAGCAGGTAACCTGCAAACGCATATGAGGATTTACTGTGGGATCAAGCCTTTTAAGTGTGCTGAATGTGGCAAAGATTTTGCACGGGCAAGTGGCCTTCAGGCGCACATGTGTAGTCACCATGGACTCAAGCCTTATCTGTGTGATAAGTGCGGGAAAACATTTCCACAAAAAAGTTATCTGAAGATACACATGAAGATTCACAATGGTATCAAGCCTTTAAAGTGTGCTGATTGTGGGAAAAAGTTTGCACACGCTGATCGCCTGCTTTCTCATATGAGTAATCACAGAGGACTCAAGACTTTTGAGTGTGGTGAATGTGGGAAAGAGTTTGCACAAGCATATAAACTGCAGATACACATGATGCTTCACAGTGGTATCAAGCCTTTTGAGTGTGCTGAATGTGGCAAAAAGTTTGCACAAGCAGGTGGCCTGCAAGCCCACATGAGGATTCACAGTGGAATCAAGCCTTTTAAGTGTGCTGAATGTGGGAAAGATTTTGTACAAGCATATAGCCTGAAGACACACATGAGGGTTCACAGTGGTGTCAAGCCTTTTAAATGTGCTGAATGTGGGAAAGGGTATGCACAATCAGGTCACCTGCAGAGGCACATGATTAGTCACAGTGGAATCAAGCCTTTTAAGTGTGCTGAATGCGGCAAAGGGTATGCACAATCAAGTACCCTGCAGACACACATGAGGCTTCACAGTGGAATCAAAGCCTTTAAGTGTGATGAATGTGGGAGAGAGTTTGCACAAGCTGGTCACCTGCAGAGGCACATGGCGAGTCACAGTGGACTCAAGCCTTATCTGTGTGATGACTGCGGGAAAACATTTACACAAAGAATCGACCTGAAGATACACATGAGGATTCACAATGGTATCAAGCCTTTTAAGTGTGCTGAATGTGGGAAAGAGTTTGCACGAAAACGCAATCTGCAGTCTCACATGATTAATCACACTGGAGTGAAGCCTTACCTGTGTAAGGAGTGCAGGAAATCGTTTACTCGAATAGATACCTTTAAGACACACTTGAAGATTCACAGTTGAATCAAGCCATTTACCATGTTTACATTTGATTTAGGTGTGGTGATTTCGGGAAAGAGTTTACAGAAGCAGGGAACCTGCAGTCTCACTTGAGGTCTCACTATGAACTCAAGCCTTACCTGTGTAAGGAGTGCAGGAAATCGTATACTCGAATAGATACCTTTAAGACACACTTGAAGATTCACAGTTGAATCAAGCCATTTACCATGTTTACATTTGATTTAGGTGTGGTGATTTCGGGAAAGAGTTTACAGAAGCAGGTAACCTGCAGTCTCACTTGAGGTCTCATGGTGAACTCAAGCCTCACCTGTGTGAGGAGTGCAGGAAATCGTTTACTCAAATAGATACTCTTAAGACACGCTTTTAAGATTCATAGTTGAATCAAGCCATTAAGGTGTGGTGATTTTGGGAAAGAGTTTACAGAAGCAGGTAACCTGCAGTCTCACTTGAGGTCTCATGGTGAACTCAAGCCTCACCTGTGTGAGGAGTGCAGGAAATCGTTTACTCAAATAGATACTCTTAAGACACGCTTTTAAGATTCATAGTTGAATCAAGCCATTAAGGTGTGGTGATTTTGGGAAAGAGTTTACAGAAGCAGGTAACCTGCAGTCTCACTTGAGGTCTCATGGTGAACTCAAGCCTCACCTGTGTGAGGAGTGCAGGAAATCGTTTACTCAAATAGATACTCTTAAGACACGCTTTTAAGATTCATAGTTGAATCAAGCCATTAAGGTGTGGTGATTTTGGGAAAGAGTTTACAGAAGCAGGTAACCTGCAGTCTCACTTGAGGTCTCATGGTGAACTCAAGCCTCACCTGTGTGAGGAGTGCAGGAAATCGTTTACTCAAATAGATACTCTTAAGACACGCTTTTAAGATTCATAGTTGAATCAAGCCATTAAGGTGTGGTGATTTTGGGAAAGAGTTTACAGAAGCAGGTAACCTGCAGTCTCACTTGAGGTCTCATGGTGAACTCAAGCCTCACCTGTGTGAGGAGTGCAGGAAATCGTTTACTCAAATAGATACTCTTAAGACACGCTTTTAAGATTCATAGTTGAATCAAGCCATTAAGGTGTGGTGATTTTGGGAAAGAGTTTACAGAAGCAGGTAACCTGCAGTCTCACTTGAGGTCTCATGGTGAACTCAAGCCTCACCTGTGTGAGGAGTGCAGGAAATCGTTTACTCAAATAGATACTCGTAAGACACGCTTTTAAGATGCACAGTTGAATCAAGCCATTTAGGTGTGGTGTTTCCGGGAAAGAGTTTACAGAAGTGGGTAACCTGCAGTCTCACGTTGAACTGAAGCCTTATCAGTGTGAGGAGTGTGGGGAAGCATTTACACATGCATGTCACCTGCGGACCCACATGAGGATTCACAGTGGAATCAAACCTTTTAAGTGTGTACTATATCCTCCAGTGGTCAGAATGTGCTCGGATCTGAGCAGAGATTGTGGAGTTTCAAGTTACTACATTACATTCCATTTACAGGCTCTCTGCTGGTCCTTACCAGGACCGTGCCCCATGGTGACAGCTAATGATTAATTACCACCAGATGTCTCTAGCAGATGATGCATTTCAATTGTAAATAGCGAGAAACAAAACCAACACAAATATATCTACTCATATTTTAATAATAAATGTGTATGAGTAAAAAATGTAACATCAAAATTGTAACTACAAAATGTTTTTTCTCCCTAAATTTTGTCTGATTTCTAACTATGATTAACTTATAAAGCTTACACAACTCAACAAATGTCATTCTTAAACATCAACTGTAAATAACTCAAAACATTGTGTGTGTGTGTGTGTGTGTGTGTGTCTGTGTGTGTGTGTGTGTGTGTGTGTATATATATATATATATTAGTAGAATAATGTCACTGTTTCTCGATGAAATGATACGCAAGAAATATCTTATTTATCGCATATCTAGGTATGCTACCACTGATTCCCTCAGTCTCAATAAGATAAAAAAGAATAATGCTGTATGTACATGATCTGATTATTATACCGAATCAAAACTAACATGGTTACTAAAAACAATTCCAAAAATGTTAGTTGTCAGTATGCAAGAAACATCAGGAATGAATGTAAAAATGTCATGTCACACCCTGTGCACAAATAGTAATATGATTTTGTGCTTGAGTAATCATAGTCCATGTCCGAAGTCATATAGTCATTGATATTGTTGCATCTTCAATTCCAATCTCTGGTTTCTGGTTCTGCATGAGATAGCCATTTCTTAGTGACAGATGTCTCTACTTCCTGAAAACATAGGTACATCATATTATTTGTCAAAATTTGTATTTACAGAGAATTTCCATGACATGTTTAAAATGAAAAATATTGATTGACATGTAAAGGTTTTTAAAGTATTTTTATGCATAGTCTTTTACAATAACACTGTATCCCTAATAACTGTGTCAAGCCGAAGACCCGGGTTCGATTTCCCATTCCTTGTGATAAAGCTGGAATATTGCTAAAAGCGGCGTAAAACCATATTCACTCACTTACTCACCTAATAAATGTGTCAATATTCAGTTTAAATGAACAAGGGAATGACTGATTGTCACAAAGAATATAACTGTTTGTTACAAACATGCACATATGCACACATGCACGTCTCCTCCGATGAATTATTATATAAAAAAGATACATAATATTTAAAGCAGAACAGACATCGCCATTTACCATACGGTGTGATCGAGCAGTATTTTGTATTCATTAAGGAAAAGTTGCTCGAGATGAACATGACTTTCTAAAGAATTTTTAATACTTACTTTGGTGTTGATGTAAGCTGCCTCTATTTGCGTCTTGCTCCTTTCTGTGGGGTATCTTTGAGAGTCCGTTTCCTTGAGAGATCACTTTTCTTGCACTTGCACTCTAATACTCTTTTCAAAAGAGTGGCTTCCGGCATGACCAAGAGGTCTTCAGGTTTTCTTACTGCTGAGTCTGGTCCAAGGTAGTATTCTATTTGTCCATCACTTCTTCTCCTCAGACAGCCTTTGCTCATGAAATCTGGCATTTGCTTTGAGTGGAATCCTGCAGTGAATAAGTACTCCATTTGGTACTCAATAAGGTGACACAATTGCTCAAGTGCAGACATTGGTGGCATCCACGAGGTAGGCTTTGCCATCTCCTCCTTCTGGGGGAGCTTGACAGTGAGTTGACGAATCTCATCATATGTCATCCTGTTTGCATCAAGACCTTTTGGGCAGTACATGTGTTTTACAAGGTCCTTGTACACATCATGAGACACAGCACCATATTCCTCAGATGGTGTGAAGGAGAATAACTTTTGCCAGAAGTTCAGGTTCATGAAAATCCCCATTAGTTTGTCATGGGATTTGCCAAAGTACTTGGGTATAAAATCATTTCCCCCCATGCAGAGTGCCAAAGCAATGTTCATACCTGCTTGAGAACCATGTTTTTTCTCCAAGATTTCTAGAATTCTAGTAATGGAGTAGATATCCATGGATCCTGGCTTCATCAGTACAACATGTACATGGTGCTTGTAGGTGCCATCTTCATTTCTTGGCCAAAGATGTGACAATGAGAACAGGTGTATGGGTAGTGCGTCTATATCTCCAGAAGTCACCACAGAAAGAACTTCATCACCCGAATTCAGATTATTTTTCACTTCAAGTATCCAATCCATTTGCGCCATCTCTGCTTCACCTTTCCTCTGTTGAATATGATCAAGTGTACTTGTAATCGGTGACTTGTCATGAGAAAATATTGTCCTCGTTGGTACGGCATACTTTGTACAGCATTGACAAGGAACTAGATTTCCACAACTGCAACCATCTACTACCCACTCACTGTCTATGTCCAAGATGAAATCCTGATGAATGTCCAAGATTGCAATATTTCCAGCAAGAAATGAGCTGATAGCAGCCTTCCCAGTATCAGTAGAGGTCACAGCAGTCTTGTCAAATGTTGAACTGCTTATTATTTCTGTTCCTCTTTTAAGGTGTGAAATTGACTGACCATGAGTCTTGCTTCTCTTGAGTCTTGTGGCTGCCTTAAAGTCATCTGGAGTGAATGAATACTTTTCTTCACATAGGACCATGTGTTTAGCTTTGGGTAGTTTGTTCTTGATGGATTTTATAAGTCTATCCTCAACAGCTTTCACATACTCATATCCTGATTTTGCTACTGTTTTGAATTTGACCCCAGCCAGTTCCACCACAGAATGGCTTACCATTTGGAGTTTATGCACCGGTAGGTTTTTCAAGTCAAATTCAGCAAGATCATATTTTCGCAGGCAGTCTTCATTCCCCATGCTCTCTTCTTGTCCACATGCGTTAGCAACTACATTTATGAATGCCTTTTTCATTCCCCTTGATTTTTGCACGGCTGATTTGGAACCATCTGGTTTTACTACTGCTTGGCAAGTGTTCATATCTGATGAGAGTCCTTCTGCAATGCCAATCAATGTCTTGAGCTTTCTCTTCCTCTTGACTTCCTTTTCATCTTGCGGCATGATCTGTGGCTTACAGGACATTCTTCTGATTGTAACACCTTTTGTCACCTTTGCCTTCTTGATCAATTCTTTTGCATTTTGTGAGGTTTTGAAGTGATGTAGCGGATCAATTGTTTGATCATGAAAGATCTTGTTCTGTACATGTCTGTCAATTAGGTATCTTCCCACATCAAATGTTTTCCTATCCAATACTGCGTCAGGCAAAGTAGACCTTTTTTTGGAATACACATTGATGGGTATGTCACACTTCTGATGATCAAGTCCACCCTGCCTTAGAATAAGGAGGGCTGTTGGGTATATCTTCTTCAGGTCTTGATCTGATATACCCCATGTTCTGCTTTTGTGAACACCTGCTGGATGAGGTAGCGACAAATCATCATCTCTGTAACTTTCCATTTCCTGGTATCTGTCAACAAGAGACATTCTTGGCAATACAGATGTCACAGTGGCTCTGGGACGAAAACCTTTCAGTGCATCTCTATGGTCCATCTCTCTGTGAGTGTCCAGTGCAAAATTTGTTGAACTGCCTTTGTATGGGCAGCTAAAGAACGTCTTCTTGAATTTCTGATGGAAGTAGCCAGCAGTGTAGTGCTGTAGCAGAAGCTCACAACAGAAAGTACCATATGAGGATGCTCCATTCAAAAACGCAAATGGTAGGGAAGCTTTCACTGTGCCTAATAATAGGTCATACCCAGTCTCACCTCCAACCCTCTCAGCCACAGACAGTGCCAATATTTCATCACAATGGGTCATTATATCGTGATGAAGTGAAAACGTTGCATTCTGAGTGCACCCATCCTTGATGAAATGTTCATACTCATGTTCCCATCTCTCATTGGATACTCGATTGGTCTCTTTGAGCCACTCAAAAAGAGCACTGGAGTCTTCTGGGTGAAGTACCTCAAGAAATTTCATCACAAATGCAAGATGTAGTGCATATGAGATCCTCCTGATATTGTGTGTGGCATCTTCTATGTTCTCGGTGCTAACAAGATTTTCCCAGTCTGTGCTTGTGTCTTGCATATATCCAAGTAAGTGATACAGACCAGCATCTTTGTAAGCAGTTAGTAGATTTCCAATCTTGGACTTCCGGAGATGGAGGAGGGGAAATTCAGGTAAATACCTCTTGTACTTTTCATCCTGTGTCATCAGCTTAAACAAGCATCTCCCAATTTTGTTATCAGGGGCAAACAGAATGCGACAGGTATCGGAATAGTTTCCAGCTTTCATGAGAATGTCTTCTAAAATTTCCTTCAACTTCTTTATGTCGTCATCTCTGCCTATGGCTGGTGGTGGGTGGCGCACCAGTAAGGGTGGAGGATTGAACGTTTCAAATCCCATCGTTGAGAACTGGTGTTCATGATCATTAGATGTTTCCTGATCAAAAGTGTCAACAAGATCGTCTGACGATTGATCAGATGGAGATGGAACCATTGTGTCGAGAGGACAACATCCAAGTGACAGGGCACCAATGCTTTCATTGAGAGCAGTTAAGTCTTCATTAGGGGATTCATGGTCACCAGAAGAGGATAACTGAGAGATGATTTCCTCACCAGATGATGCTTCAGAGAATGATGAGTCCATGAGACCTTCTTGCTTGTCAATTTGAAACAGAATGGTATCCAGTTCTCTGTCATGATCTGGTTTCCAGTCGCTTGGTATTTCTTCATCAGACTCATCTGTGTCCAAAATGGATGCTTCAAATGTGATAGAGTCATTATCCTCATTTTTCTCCAGTGCGGTTTTCAACAAGGGGAATACTTGAGATGCATCAATGTTTCTCCAAAGTTTAAAATGGCCCCATGTTAAAGCAGAATTGAGTCTCTTTTGTTGTTGATCCTCGTCCACTGTAAGCTCATGAAATACATATTGCCTTTCACATGATTTCAGTATGGTGGTATCTTTGCATTTACAAGCATTTGATCCATCACAAATGTTTTCATCGTGCCAGTTCTGAGTGATGGCAGCATTCTTCGGAATTCCCATGAGAGTCATTGGAAGAGTGCAAATTTGTGATGATCTGGACTCCCCCCTGTCTGGATCACGATGAAAGGATAGGTGCACCAAGTTGTCAAAACAGAAGATTAAGTGGCAGTCCTGGAGTGACACAGGTCTCTTGATTCCATCAATCGCCTCATATTCCAAGTCATATTTCTTCAGAAATGTGTTGTAATAACATGTATCGGCATCAGCTTGGTCCTGCAAACGACTCGTTGCTTTATTAAAGGAACTTGTCAGTCCGCCTTGAGAGGTCAAGTTGAATACTTTTGTGACACTGTGATACGATGCTGAGAGTTCATCTGTGTTTACTTCCTGTTGAATGCCAATTTAGTTCCGATTGTTTGTGTTCAACAGAGCATCAAAGAGCAGGTGAAGTTTTTCAAGTTTCTCCATCAAATACTTATTTTTGTTTTGAGATTTCCTCAATGTGGTTCCATTGAGAAATGTTTCCAACAGGATTTGGAATGGTAGTGGGACGTGAAATTTCCATTCTCTCAGCAAATCAAAGGTCTTGAAATCCAAAGGATCCTCATGACTCAGAACAGGTGTACATGTTGGACAAGATGTGCTTTCAACATCCAGGATGTGTTCAGAGTCAGAAATGAAATATAGTCTTGTACTTGATATTTCACCCTTCCTAATACTGTCTCGTAGGTGGAAACGTCTGCTGATCACATCTTCATTAATATCTGAATGTCCAAGCATGGCTATTTCCACGCAGTTGTCCTTGTGTACAGTGGCAAGTGTATATTTGATGAGAACACACACATCATCACAGTTAAGCAAGCTTTGTTCTTTGCCTGCATCTAGGAACACATGGATTCCACGGGGATGATTTTGGGTACATTCATGATCACAATCCAGGCAGATGACATGTTTGAAGAATCCTGGCAAGAGTTTTTCTAATTCTTCTTTAATGTTTTCATCCACCAGTCTGGGAAGATGTCTTGATTCTGTCAATAACAGAGTGCCTTCTGCTTTGACTGCAGCTGCCCTCCTGTCTAAATTTAATTTCATTGTGTTTTTAGCACAGTAGATGAGACGTGGTTGTAATGCGTACAGATTTTGGCATTGGTGGAAAATGTCCCATCTTCTTCTCACTGAGGGATCACTGTAAAAGCCAACGTCCTGTAGTCTAGTATCGTCTTCAACAGTTTTCCAGATATGGTTTTCAAAGATCTTGATCTTTTCCCATTCTTCGTTGGAGAAATGTGTTTGATACGATGT